ATACATTGTTGTACCGTCGGGTTCCATAAACGGCCGTGGATTTTGGTTTTGTAACCGGTGTTGCGTTGTTGGCGAACGTTTCGTCCTTTGTGTGTGCATTTTCGTAGCCGTCGCCAAATTGTGTGCTTCAAGGTCACAGCGGAATCTTAAAGCGGAGCCCATGCGGATGAGTGAAGACAGCTCGCAGTTCGCACCGTAGCAAAACGTTTGTAATGCCTTTCACAGTTTTATTGTGTAATAATAGTCACTTGTTTTGGCATGATGGATGTTCCTCGACCTTTGTCCTCTGGGCTTGTCCAGTTCTGCGCTGGGTGTGTAGACTACCTGCCAAGACTTCCTTTGCGCGAACGCTGATATACTGACGAAGTTAGGCGATGTGCTGTGTCATTTGGTCTGATTCCTCTTCGTATTAAATCAGGACTGAGTGAAGGCTCAGAGCGATTTCACGAACGGGTGGCCAATATGAACGCGGTGATAGATCTTTGGTCCCATTAAGTTTCTCTGTCAACCTCTCCCAGGATATTAAAATGGGTTGTGTCTCGGGAACTCAGTTCCTTTACTCTGGCTTTAGAAGATTGCTGTCTTCTGGGTTGTAGCGCCGTGTAGTCTGGTAGATTACCGACGTTTCAGAGGTCGTTGCTACCTCCATCATCATTGCTTACTCTGAGAATCACCAAATCCATTAAATACATTCTGTGGGTAGAAAAATGAGTTAGTCGATGTTAAGGCAGGTGGTATATATAGGTACCACCGTGCTTATAATAAAATAATGGTGACTTGCTCCGCAAGACAATAATTTTTTCGTTAATTCTTTTTTAAATTTTAAGTTAATTACTGATACGTTAGAGGGCCACATCCCTCCTGATGATGGCGCCTGTATATCCCTGGCATTGATCAACCGAACACTGCAACCGTGCTCATTCGACCTCGGCTGAGCTTCGACAGGGACAGACGAAAACGCGATGTCGTGGACTTGGAATGTAATTTTCCGTAGAGAGCGCCTGGCAGACCTGAGATTCGCAACCCGCAGATAGCATGCGGCAATTCCATGTGTTTTGTGCGGCCCACGTACCGTTTGTTTCCACAAATTACGCTTCTGAGCGTCTGTTTTTGACAGCTAGTGTTGTTGTAATTCAGTTCAAAGTGTTTTGTCTTCCCGTCTGATTTCTAAGAACCTGAAAATTAAAGTGTACAAAACAATAATTTTGCCTGTTGTTTCGTATGGGTGCGAAACATGGTCTCTCACTCTGAGTGAGGAACACAGATTGCAGGTGTTTGAGAATCGGGTGTTGAGGAGGATATTTGGGCGTAGGAGAGAAGACGATGGGGCGTGGAGAAAACTGCATAATGACGAGCTTAAAAATCTGTACTCCTCCCCCAATATTGTCAGGGTGATTAAGTCGAGAAGAATGAGATGGGCGGGGCATGTAGCGCGCATGGATGGGACAAGAGGTGTGCACCGGGTATTGGTTGGGAAGCCTGAGGGGAAGAGACC